AGTTATTCCTGGGGGCCAGCCGCAGTGGCTCATCCCAGCACTTTGGGAGGCCGAGGCATGTGGATCACATAAGATCAGGAGTTCAATACCAGCCTGGCCTCAAGTGATATGCCCACCTCAGCCTCCCAAAGTGCTGGGATTACAGGCATGAGCCGCCACACCACATCCAGCCAAGCAGTTATTATCTTGTAGTGCATTGAAGTTTTTCAGCACATCCCAGCATCCCCTGACTTCGGTTGCTGTGTTCGGGAGTTTGGCTGTCAGTCTAGCATCTGGTCTTTGAGAGTAACCTCTTTTTCCTCTGCCTGCTTTTAAGATATTTTTTTGAATTGTTCTTGGTTTTCTGCAATTTTACTATTATGTTTAGGTAAGTTTCTTTTTATTTATTCTGCTTGGAATTCACTGGGATTCTTGAATGTGGATCAGTGGTTTTCAGTTCTGGGAAATTCTTAGCCAGTATCCTTTCAGATATTCTATCCTTTCTCCTCTCATCTTCTCTTCTTCCTTTCCTTTTTTTTTTTTTTTTTTTTTTGAGACAGTCTCACTTATCACCCAGGTTGGCGTGCAGTGGTGCAATCTCAGCATCTCAGCTCACTGCAACGTCTGCCTCCCAGGTTCAAGTGATTCTCCTGCCTCAGTCTGCCAAGTAGCTGGGCTTACAAGTGCGTACCACCAGGCCAGGCTAATTTTTGTATTTTTTAGTAGAGATGGAGTTTCGCCATATTGGCCAGCTGGCCTCAAACTCCTGACCTCAGGTGCTCCGCTCATCACGGCTTCCCAAAGTGCTAGGATTACAGGTGTGAACCGCCACACCCGGCCTTCCCTTAACTAACTTCTTTGAGAGATTATTTTGGGCTAGGAATGGAATTTACTCCTGTCATTATGCACATTCCATCATCTAAAATCATTAGATTTTAGCCGTGTGGCCCTGCCCAGCTATGAAGAATTCTGAGGAATCACTTGAACCCAGGAGGCAGAGGTTGCAGTGAACCAAGATTGCACCACTGCACTCCAGCCTGGGCAACACAGCGAGACTCTGCCTCATTAAATAAAAAAGAGACTGCAAACTCACACCAATCATTACCTGGTAAATGCATTTAGCTCAGGAAGTACAGGTGACTATAGGGAGAAAAACATGAAGATAATGACCAGCTCAGACCCAGCCAGGGCTTGTGGCCATGCCCACCTGCTCCTGTGAGCCTCCAGGGTCTTGGGCAAGTCACCCATCCTCTCCCCCGTTTCCTGTCTGTAAGTTGGGATTAGTGATGCCACCTTCACAGTTGTGGGGACCTAGAAGGCAGCAATGGGCCTCTATCCCTAGGTTGCCTCCCAGGGCTGGCACATAGTAGGTCTGTGTCCAGCTGCCACACACACTACCCAGTTAGGCCAGGTCCCTGGAAACAAGTCAACAGGACCACCTGGTCAGTGTCGGTCACAGCACACATGAGGTGCGCGACCGTCCTCATGTGAGGCCTGTGCAGGTCACTCATGATGTCTTGTTTCCCTGTGTTTTTGGTCATCTTTAACAGTGGGCTGCTTGTTGGCTTTGAAAAATGTTGATCGAGAGATTCTTTGAGGCTTAGAATGAAGGTGGAGTCCACTAGGGAGGAGTTAAGTTGGGGCAGTACCCACTAGAGGCCACTGCAAACCAAATATACTGGCCTCCTAAAGAGCTGGGCATGGTGGCTTATGCCTGTGATCCCAGCACTTTGGGAGGCCAAGATAGGATTGTTTGAGGCCAGGAGTTTGGGGATAGCCTGGACAACACATCAAGACCCTATTCTACACCTTTTTTTTTTTTTTTTGAGACAGTTTCGCTCTTGTTGCCCAAGCTGGAGTACAGTGCTACAATCTCGGCTCACTGCAACCTCCACCTCCCAGGTTCAAGCGATTCTCATGCCTCATGCCTCAGTAGCTGAGATTACATCACACCTGGCTAATTTTTGTATTTTTAGTGGAGACAGGGTCTTACCTTATTGGCCAAGCTGGTCTCAAACCCCTAACCTCAGTTTATCCACCTGCCGTGGCCTCCCAAAGTTCTGGGATTACAGGCATGAGCCATTGCACCTGGTCTACTTTTTTTTTCTTTTTGATTAGCTGGGCATGGTGGTCTGCACTTGAAGTCCCAGCTATTTGGGAGGCTGAGGTGGAAGGATTGCTTGAGCCCAGGAATTCAGGGCTGCAGTGAGCTGTGATCACACCACTGTGCTCCAGCCTGGATGACAGAGACCCTATGTCAAAACAAAAAATACATTTAGTGCTTGGAGTTCTCTGTATTCCTGGGCCTCAAATCTATGCTGGAGAAGACCGGTAGCTCTAACTTCTCAATAACTTTTTGCTTCTCTTAGCACCAAGGCAGTCTTTCCTGTTGGGGGAGCAGGGCTGATTCCGATTCATTCTTACCCTAGGAATATAGCCCTTTAGGTGTTCAGGTTAAGATGGGAAGGGTTTTCTATAATGCTCCCCACTTTGGGGAGGACTGGCCCTGACTTCTGCCCCCTGACCCCACAAGGCCAAAGAATGAGAACCCAAGTTTGCTGGTTTTGGCAGATGCCCTCTGACAAAAGGGCACCTCCCAGGCAGCACAGCCATGGACTGGCCCTACTGGGATGCAGCAGTGACATCAGCCCCGCCACTGGGCACATGTCCTTTTCTGGTGACAGCAGGAGGGGTGCCTGGACCAGTGGTTTCCCTAAGACAATGAAATATGCTGGGTGAAATATCTTAAGGCCATCACTCCAGCAATACTGAACAGCTGACAAGATAGCAGGCAACTGACTTCGAGGCCTCGTGCTGGAGGTAAATTGGACTCAGATACAAGGCCCTACCACAGGGGTCTGGGGATCCTGGCTCTCAGCTCTGGCCTGGGAGAGCTCAGAGAGGGAGGGGCTCTGCAGATTAGTTGCCCCCTAGACAGTAACGCTGAACCACGATACCTGATGAACAGAGACTGCAGGGACCAGCACAGTGGCTCACTTATAATCCCAGCACTTTGGGAGGTGGAGGCGGGTGGACGTCTTGAGCTCAGGAGTTCAAGATCAGCCTGGCCAACATGGTAAGAACCCATCTCTACTAAAAATACAAAAGTTAGCTGGGTGTGGTGGTGGGTGCCTGCAATCCTCGCTACTGGGGAGGCTGAGGCAAGAGAATCGCTTGAACCCGGGAGGCACAGATTGCAGTGAGCCAAGATTGCACCACTGCACTCCAGCCTGGGCAACAGAGTGAGACTGTCTCATTTAAAAAAAAAAAAAATTGCTTATAGCCATTACAGGAGATAATGAAAATCAAAAAAAAAAAAAAGAAAAAAAAGACTGCAAACACACCAATCATAACCTCATAAGTGCAGTTAGCTTAGGAAGTACAATATTTCCAAAAAGATGACTATGGGGAGGAAAATATGAAGATAATGACCAGCTCAGACCCAGCTGGGGCTTGTGACCACGCCTACCTGCTCCTGTGTGTCCCAGGCCTTAGGCAAGTCACCCATCCTCACCCCGTTTCCTGTCTAAGCTGGGATTAGTGATGCCGCCTTCTCAGTTGTGGGGACCTAGAAGGCAGCGATGGGCTTCCGTTCCTAGGTTGCAGCCCGAAGCTGGCACGTAGTAGGTCTGTGTCCAGCTGCCACACACACTACCTTACCAAATAGCCTCAGGAGGTAGGAAAGGGCGATGGGCTCATTTCACAGGGGGAAGAACCGAGGCAAAGAAAGGCAGTAGAGACTCTTGCTTCTGGTTTAGTAGCTCCTGCCATGGACTTGACATGGGAACCCCTCCCAGAAGCTCTGCCCCTGCTGCCCTGGGGCACTGTTAGCCTGTGGAATCCAGCTCTCCTCTTGGCCTGGTTCACAGCAACCCTGGGAACTTTTAGAGCCTCTGGCCTATGCTAACCGAGGTTGGGTGGCTGCTGGCCAGAGCCCTAGAGAGAGGGTGTATCAGTTAGTGCTGGGTAACAGCCCCGAATGCATGGCTTCACATTTCCTTAGTGTTAAAGGGCCTATGGGCTGGCCAGGCAGTACTGCTCTCAGTGTTGGGCCTGGCACGTCCTGGTTGGGCTCACTCACACTTCTGTGGGCAGCTGGGAGCTAGCTAGTCCAGGATGGTCTCAGCTTGGGTGACCCAGGCTCCATACGCCCTCTTGCCTTCCAGCAAAGCAGCCCAGCTTGTTCTCATACTATAGCAGGAGTCAGAGAAAGCAGGCAGAGGCATGCATGTCCCTGGAGGCCTAAGCTTAGAGCCAGCAATGCCACTGCTGTCACCTTTTATTGGCTACAGCAAGTCATAAGACAGGCTCAGATTGAAGGATGTAGACTCCACCTCTAGATAAAAGTTGGGACAAAGTCAAGGGGCAAAGGGCATGGTGATTCAGGGAGGAATGGGGCATCGGGGTCACTTTTGTAATTGATCTACCACAGAGGGGAGCCCCCCTTTGAGAAGCTGAGTGGTTGGGTTTTGGTGCTTAGGGAGCCACGAACCAACCTGCTAGATGGGGCCTTCACTGGGGTAGCCAGATGTCAGTTTAGCCTCAGGACTTACTCAGCCTCCTGCAAGCCCATGTGTTGGGCAGCATTGCAGCCCCAGCTACTAGCACAGAGTGGCTCTTCCAGAAAGTTTGTTGAATGAGTGACCTAAGTCAGTTCCTGTGCCAGGCAGCTCAGAGGGACCATCCCAGAGCCGCCTTCTTGGGGTGCAAGCCCAGCCGGGCTTGGGGTGGGGGATGTCTGAACTTGTGGGAGCCTCCCATGCCTGCTGGGAGCCTGAAGACGCAGAGACCTCCTACCTCACCCCCTCTGTGGGGACCCTTTTCCCCACACTTCTTGGTTCCTGTCGGAGCCAAGATGTGTCGCCATGGAAACTGCTTGGCAAACGCTGGCAGGCAGAGGCGGCCAACAGCAGCTCTCCTGATCGAGCTCCGGGTGCCGGCTGGAGCGACGTCGTGGGACGGTGATGTGAGCAAGCACACCGGCTGTGTGTGACACGCGTGGGGACAGAGGCCAGGTGGCTGCAGGAGGGCATGCGGGGAGGTCAGGGCACCCCGGCTGCGTGCGGCCACGTGTGTGTGTGTGTGTGCATGTGCGTGTGGGTGTGTGCGTGCCTGTGCATGTACCAACGGTGCAGCTGCATCGGGGCGTGTGTGCTCTTAGTGTGATGGCCGCGTGGGCCGGTACAGGGTGTTTGCGGGCAGGCGGGTGTCTGAGTGTTGCTGTGACCTGCAACAGCACAGCTGCCTGGATTGAGCAGCCACCAGGTGCTGACAGGACTGGCAGAGGTGGCTGCTGCCCTCGTCCCCAGCCTGCAGTCCTGGGCGAAGGCTGACGCTGAACAGGTACGTGTAAGAGTTGCCTAAGTGTGTGCCGGGAGGGTCCTGGGAAGAGAGGGCTGTGGGCCTGAAGCCTAAATGTGGGGTGAGAGGAATGCAGGCTGGTGGTCCAGGTGGAAGCCATGGCCCAGGCAAGGGCTGGGATGCCAGGGTGGAAAGGACAGAGTCTGGAGCCCAGGAGAAGCGGAGGCATGGCCCTGAAGGAAGCTGGGGCTTAATCTGAGTGGAGGAGGCCCAGCTGGGGTGCAGGGTGCCAGGACAGCAGGGTCCTCTAGGCAGAGGGACCCTGGAGGTAGGAACTAGGGATGTGAGACCAGGGCAGACAGAGCCAGGGGGATGCAGCTGACAGCTGGCGCTGGTGAGATGTGGTCTTTGAAAGGCTTCCTCCTGGGGGCAAGTGGCTTAGAAAGGGGTGTGTGCAGGCCGAGGAGTCTGCAGCCAGCCTGGGATGGGGGGGCAGTTGAAAGCTATTTTGGAGGTTGATTTGATGCTCCTTGGTGACAGTGGCACTTGGAGGAGGAGGGTAGGGCTGGGATGATGGGGATTCCTGGGATGGGAGGTGCTGAGGTTGAGGGTCCGGGTGCTTGTGGCACCCCCAGAGTTGTCTCACCAGGGGGCTGCTTCCAGAGCTCCCATAACAGGCGCTTGGCTCTCTGAGCACCTGCCTGGGTCTCCGGCCCCACAGGCTCCCTGAGCCCTGCCAGGTTGGGCGGGTGTGCAGCGCACCCAGCAGGCGCTGGATATCCTGGCTTTTGTAGGGCTTCTTCAGGCACCCCTGGGAGCCCAGATGCCCAGCAGCTTCAAGCTGTGAAGCCTCCAGAGGGGGCCGGGCATGTCCTTGGCACCCCTGGCTGTTCCTTGCTGCCCAAGTTCCCCTCTGCGGCTGGGGTTGCTGGAGACCTCCAAGGAGTAGGGGTTCCCTGCTCATTTTCACCCTGACCCCAGCTCTGGGGGTGTGGGAGGCAGAGGTGATGGCTCAGGAAGGTCTTGTCTGCTGCAGGCTGGCTCTGGCTACTTGGGCGATGCCGCTGGGCCGGGGGTTCAGCCACCTTGTGCTGGCCACAGAGCTGGGGCCTCTCATGCACCTCGCAGGCCTGCCCGGCGAGGCCCATGCACTCACTGGGGGCTCCTTCCCAGGGCGCGCCCCCCATGGATGCTGCTGGGCCTCCCTGGTAACCCTACTGGCCGAGCCTGGGGCCAGGCATGTCTGAGGACTCTGAGGGCGTTTCCCAGGTCCATGGTGTGGCCTTGGGTGAGCACCCTGGGCAAATCACCAGACACCAGGCTTTGGGACCCCTGCATCCGCCAAAACGGTGCTGACCCACAGGCACCAGGCAGCGCAGCCTTCAAGTCAGAAACCTTCCAGGACCCTGAGTGCCAACTGTTTGCGTCCCTGCCCACGGATGCCCCCTCGTGGCCAATCCTGTCCATCTTAGAACCCCGTTTCAGAGCTGAGGATGCGGGGCTGGAGAGGGCACGGCTGAGCTAGGTGACACTTGGGCCTGAAAACCCCAAGTCGGCTGGCCAGTGCCTGCCTGACCATGGGCGCCATCAACACAGCTTCTGTTATTCTTTTTTTTTTTTTTTTTTTTGAGACAGGGTCTCACTCTTGCCCAGGCTGGAGTGCAGTGGTGCAATTATGGCTCACTGCAGCCTTGACCTCCCTGGGCTCAGGTGATCCTCCCACCTCAGCCTCCCAGAGAGCTGGGGCTACAGGCGCATGCCACCATGCCCAGATAATTTTTAAATGTTTTTGTAGAGATGGGGGGGTGGGTCTTGCTATATTGCTCAAGATGCTCTTGAACTCCTGGGCTCAAGAGATCCACCTGACTTGGCCTCCCAGAGTGCTGGGATTGCAGGTGTGAGCCACCTCACCCAGCCAAGCCTTTGTTATTCTTGTTGTTAGGGTCCCACTGCAGGGCTGTGGGGAGGTCTGCAGGCAACTCAGAGTCAAGACAGACCCCGACAGGGACAGAGGTTGCAGGGAGATGCCATCGGAGGTTCACTCCCATGTGCCTGGCCCGTGTGTGTGTCTTTCCCTGTTGGAGAAGCTACATGTTGGAATTCTCCCAGGGCCCCTGACCACACACAGCACAATAGGGTAGGAAATGGGGATGGAGGGAGGAGGGAGATGGTGACAGAGAGAGAGACCGAGAGAGCAAGAGCCCCAAGACAGACAGAGAGATATAAACACAGAGAGACAGACAGAGAGATGGGCAGACGGTTTTTCCCCTGGCCCCCAGACTTGGCTGAGTCCACAGGGAGCCCCAGCAGTGGGGAAGGGGTCCTGGGGGAGTGGGCTAAGGGCCCCAGTGTATGTGCTGGGGCTGTGACTTTGCACTGAGTGCCCCCCAGCCCCAGCCACCCTGGCTGTTCTCCGGAGGGAACAAGGGCTTTCAGAGCTGGGGACCCGGCGTGAATATTAATCCAGAAGCTCAAAGGGCAGCCTCACAGGCTGGGCACGGGGGGGCTGGGCCAGGGCCAGGGCCAGCTGAGCCTGTCTGGGAACTCGCCCTGCTCAGCCCCCACCCTGCCATAGGATGCTCCTGGTGTTGGGGGGCTCCTGTTCTCCCCTCAGGTCTAAGATGGTCCCCAGCTACCCCAGGATAGGGTGCAGGGGGTACTGTACCTCCAGCAGTCAGGGGCTTTGGTGTCCAGCACTGATGACACTGGGTGGGCCCCCAGCACACAGTCTCTTGAAGAGTGGCTGCCCAGGAGGGGTCGGGCCGATGGGAGGGTCCTTAGCTTTGCTCTGCATTCCTACAGTGCTGTAATGACAGCTCCAGGAAAGCCCAGGGAAACTGAGGCATGGGCAGGGAGCCCATGTCAGGGAGGAGGCCTTGACTGTGCTCTGTGCAAGGACACCCCAAGTCCCACAGGCAGTGCTGGAGTCCAGCCCTGTGCACCCTGTCTGGGCTGGAATTCACACCCCTTTGCCTCCCACCTGGACATCACCTGCTGCACCCAGGAGACCCCAGTGCCAGGCCGAGGAAACCCCTGCTTGGGCCATGCACAGCTCCCCTGCTGTGTTCCAAGCCCCTTCACTCCCCAGCCCCTGGCCCTCAGCAGCCCCGTCCCCAGAGGTGGCCTCATCTCTTCTTCAGATCCTCTGGCGCTGCCCTACTTCCTCCACCCATCTTTGTCCAGAGCTGTGCACCGATTCTGATAGGCAGGCCTCTGCTCACTCAGTTCCTTCCACCTGGCACACCCCATCTCTGCCCTTGACCCGGGCTCATCTTGCTGTGCAGTGAAGCCAGCCTCAGCTCCATCCTCCTCTGTCCCCACAGCGCTATCTGCCCACACCCTTGCCTGCTGGCTTTGGAGCAGGGCCGAGCTGCAGAGAGGCCAAGTCCCTGTCCTGCGGCCCAGCGCCCGGCACATGCAAGGGCTCGAGTTTGCTGAGTGAGCAGCTGCTGTTTCTCAGGACTCTGTTGCCAAGCACCCTGCGAGAGTGCTTCTCATCCTTATAAAACCTGTGCAAAGCATTTTCCTCTTTTCCAATGTGGATGAGTTTCCTGTGGCTGCTGTGACAGATGACTGCAATGGCATGCCTTCAAGCAGCACACATTTACTGTCAGTTCTGGAGGGCAGAGGTCCAAAGTCGAGGCTGGGGCAGGACCAAACCTCCCCCAAGGGCTCCAGGGAAGAGTCTTTCCTGCCTCTTCCTGGAGCTTCTGGGGGCTCCAGGTGTCCTTGGCTTGTGGCTGCACCACTCTCATCTCCACCTTCTTCTGTGTCTCTGTCTTCCACTTTCTACTTGTTTTTAAAGTTTTTTGTAGAGATGGGGGTCCCACTATGTTGCCCAGGCTGTTCTACAACTTCTGGGCTCAAGCAATCCTCCTACCTTGGCCTCTCAAAGTGTTGGAGATGACAGGCCTGAGCCACCTTGCCCAGCCTCTTTATCTCTTTTTAAATATTGTTGGCTGGGTACGGTGGCTCATGCCTGTAACCCCAGCACTTTGGGAGCTGAGGTGGGTGGATCACTTGAGGTCAGGAGTTCAAGACCAGTCTTGCCAACACAGTGAAACCCCATCTCTACTAAAAATATAAAAATTAGCTGGGTGTAGTGGCATGTGCCTGTAATCCCAGCTATTTGGGAGCCTAAGGCAAGAAAATCACTTGAACCTGGAAGGCAGAGGTTGCAGTGAGCCGAGATCACGTGACTGCATTCCAGCCTGGGTGAAAGAATGAGACTCTGTCTCAAAAAAAAAAAAAACAAATTGTTATTATTTTTTACATTGTCTTGTTTCTCCAATGGGGAGCATCTTTCTCTCTCTTATAAAGTCACTTGGATTTAGGGCCCCCCGACCCAGGATGATCTCCTCTTGACATCCTTACTTTAACTATATTTGCAAAAACTTGGTTTCCAAATAAGTTTCCATTCTGAGGGTGCAAGTGGGCACATCTTTTGGGAGCCACCATTTAACCCACTCTGGGGAAACTGAGGCAGGGGAAGGTGAAGCTGCTTCCCCAGGCCACACAGCTCTCTTTTGACCCCAGGTCTGCTCCGGTCAGAGGATGGTAATGAGGATGAAGGTGGGAGCAGGCCCCTTTGTCCATCACTGAAAGGACAGAGGTCCCCATATCACTGCCTCTTCATAGAATAGACTCTGATGAGGTGGCTTCAACAAGAGAAGAGTGTGCAGTCTGCTGGCATGGAGACCAGTGTGTCCCGGGTGCAGGGTGGCTGGGCAGACAGGGTGTTGGCTGCTTGAAGCCTTGGCTGGCGAGGGCTGGGTCATCAGCAGGCTGCTTCTATGTTCCAGGGGTCCTGGCACTGGCCCCAGTGCCACCCATCTTGGGGCACCTAGGAGGGGCCCTGCTCATTTGGGCTTCCAATCTCCCAGGTTGACCCAACACACAGAGGAGGAATGGTCACTCCAGGCTCAACACAGAATTTCTGTTCCAGTGGATCCCGCCCCTGTAGCTATTCAGGGAGGGGTGTGGGGAGGATACTCCACAACTACTTTGGTGGTGGTGGTGGTGGTGTTTGAGACAGAGTCTCACTCTGTCACCCAGGCTGGAGTGCAGTGGTGTGATCTCAGCTCACTGCAACCTCCACCTCCCAGGTTCAAGTGATTCTCCTGCCTCAGCCTCCCCAGTAGCTGGGACTGTAGGCACCCACCACGCCTGGCTACTTTTGCATTTTTAGTAGAGATAGGGTTTCACCATGTTGGCCAGGCTGGTCTCGAACTTCTGACCTCAGGTGATCCAGCAGCCTTGGCCTCCCACGACTTCTTTGTAATAAGCAGTTTTAGGACAAAACATTTAGTCCAGGCTCCGTGGCTCATGCCTGTAATCACAGCAATTTGGGAGGCCCAGGTGGGTGGATCAGTTGAGATCAGGAGTTTGAGACCAGCCTGGCCAACATGGTGAAACCCTGTCTTTCCTAAAAAATTAGCCAGGTATGGTGGCATGCACCTGTAATCCCAGCTACTCGGGAGGCTGAGGCAGGAGAATCGCTTGAGCCTGGGAGGCAGAGGTTGCAGTGAGCCAGTATCATATCACCTCACTCCAGCCTGGGCAACAGAGTGAGACTCCATCTCAAAAAAAAAAAGAACATTAATCTTTTATTAGGTTTCGATTCTCTATCCCCAACAGGAATAATCTGTAAAGACCTGGTGTGGTGGCTCATGCCTGTAATCCCAGCACTTTGGGAGGCCGAAGGTGGGTGGATCACAAGGTCAGGAGTTTGAGACCAGCCTGACCAACATGGTGAAACCTCATCTCTACTAAAAATACAAAAAAATTAGCTGGGCATGGTGGCACACACCTGTAATCCCAGCTACTCAGGAGGCTGAGGCAGGACAATTGCCTGAACCTGGGAGGCAGAGGTTGCAGTGAGCCAAGATCTTGCCACTGCACTTCAGCCTGGGTGACAGAGTGAGACTTCATCTCAAAAAACAAAACAAAACAAAAAAAAACCTGTAAAATCCCCATGGCAACATGTGTCAAAAAGTGCAGCTTTGTGAGCCAGAATCTGTTTGTAGGAATTTATCCTGAGCTGGGGGGGAACTACATACCTGTGCAAAGATCTGTGGAAATGAGATGGTTTATCACAGTGATATATGCTAGTGAGACACCGAGAAACCAAAATGTCCCAAACCAGGTGACAGAGCCATGACACGGAATCCAGCACAGACCATCGGGGTGGGGGCTGACTTCTGGGTGTAAAGTGTTGGGGCCACCTGCAGAATGCATTATATGGTGTGAATCCCTTAAAAATACGTATTTAGGCTGGGCATGATGGCTCATGCCTTTGATCTCAACATTTTGGGAGGCTGAACTGGGATGATCGCTTGAGCCCAGGAGTTTGAGAACAGCCTGGGCAACATAGTGAGATCCCATCTCTATATAAAAGTTGCAAAATTAGCCAGGTGTGATGGTGTGTGCCTGTAGTCTCAGCTACTCAGGAGGCTGAGGCAGGAGAATTGCTTGAGCCTAGGAAGTCGAGGCTGCAGTGAGTCGTGTTTGCACCACTGTGTTCCAGCTTGGGCAACAGAGCAAGACCCTGTCTCAAAAGAAAATTTAAAAAATATATATTTCAATGTGGAGGAAAAGATGATCAGAAGGATGTATGACAAGGAGGTAAGAGAGTTACCTCTCGACATTGGCTTATGGGGTCTTCTTTTTGTTATTTTTTATAATTTTTGAAATTCTGCACACTGGACACCTAGTGTTGTTATTTCTTAAGGCTTAAAAAAATTCCTCTGCAATGGTGTGGGACGATGGTGACGAATCCCTCAGCCATCTGCGGGGCGCTGCTGAGGGCGTGGGGGCATTTCTGTACGGTGAGGCAGAGCTGGTGGGTGGCTGCCTGCCAGCCTGAGGGAAGGGTTGCAGAGAGTAAAAGGGCAGTTTGAGAAAAAGGCCTCTGGGCTCCATCTGGAGCTGTCCTGCTGGCCTTCAAGCCAGGACTGGGCTTGGTCATCCTCCTGCACTTTCCATCTTGGGGGCGGCTGGCACAGGGTAGGGACTGTACTTGCAGCTGCCCAGGGCAGAGCAGGGTGCCCATCATCAGGGCCACTGACCATGGGGTAACAAGAGGCCACAATGAGTGCCTGGAACCAGGAGCTGGAGGCCTCCCTCCTTCGGGCCAGCACCTCCCACCTGCCCAACCCTTGCAGGACTACCTAGTGGGGCTGGCTGGACAGAGACCTCCTATCAGGTGGCAGCAGCAGGTGGGTGGACCCCAGGGAAGACTCCCACCTCCCAATCCCTTGCCCAGCAGGGACTGGGAGCAGGTTAAGGAAGCTCTGCTGGGAGACAGCCCCACCCCAGCTAGAGGGGCTGAGGGTAGAGTCCCCCTTGGGTTCCTTCTGACCACCCAGGTGGCCTTGGGGATGGCGTGGGGTCCTTCATGGGCTCACTTGGTCTCTTTGTTCCTAACCTGGGGCCTGGTGTGGAGCTAGGATCAGTCCTGTCTGAGTTAGTGACCATCTGTCTTGGACACCAGGGTCCAAGACACTGGACTGGCCCCTCAGCAACTGCACAGCTCGCCCACCTCCTGATGACAGTGGAGGGGTGGTGATCCTTCTTCCGCTAAGTGCCTCCTGCTGGGATGTGGCAGACATGGGCACAGGACCCAACTGGGTTGTGGATACTCCATCTCCTAGGCTCAAGCACTCCTCCCGCTTCAGCCTCCCGAAGTGCTGGGATTACAGGCGTGAGCCACCCTGCCCTGGCCCATCTATTCTTTTAAGAAACACTTGCCAGCAAGTGTTTCTTAACTCAGGGTGCATCTGGTTTTGCTGTGTGGGTGGGAGGAGACCCCAATGACCCCAGGCCCTGCCCCAGCCTAGATCCCAGCCCTGCCCTCTCTCCCAGTCCTGGCACAGAGCTGGTGCCGGCAAGCGTATCTTAAAATCAGTGTCAGGGAAGAGACCCCAGGGCAGAGTGCCGGAGAATGGAGCCACTAGCCTTTCTGCTGAGTCCGGCTTATGGCATTTGTAGCCCCAAAGGGAGGGAGGGACCAGGGGCACCAGGCCTGCTGTGGCCTGGGCTTGGGGGAGGCCTGGACCCTCTGGAGGCTCTGAGGACCCTGGGAGGTGCCCTGACCTAAGAAGGAACACTCCTGGCACTCGGGGCTTGTCCCGCAGGAACTTGGGCCAGGACTGTCCCCCGGGTCCCCTCCCCAGCTGTGCTGAGGCCCCATGGGTGATGGGGTGGGGGAGAGGCCATTCCAGGACTTACCCTCCCTCCCTCAGTGCCACCTCCAATGGGGTCCCTGTAGTGTCCAGGAGGGGAGGGGCCCTGAAGCGAAGTGCAGAGCTATGCCCTAGTCAGGAAAGCTGCTCCCAGTGTCTTAACTCGGGGCACATCTGGAGTGGGTTTGCTGTGTGGGTGGGAGGAGACCCCTACCACCCCAGCCCTGCCCTGTCTCCCAGTCCTGGCACAGAGCTGGTGTTGGCAAGTGTTTCTTAAAAGAATAAATGGGCCAGGGCAGGGTGGCTCCTGTAATCCCAGCACTTTGGGAGGCTGAGGCTGGAGGATTGCTTGAGCCCAGGAGATGGAGACACCCCATCACTATCAAAAAAAAAAGTGCCAAAATGAATCAGTCTTGCAGGGAGTGTGAGATGAAGGGGATGCCCAGGAGAAGTGATGACAGGCCACCGGGAGCACACCCCACGTTGCTGGGGTAGCCCTGATGTCAGGGCCTTACCGGGTGGCCTGGTTCACCCCTCTCACCTGGGGCCTTACCTGGTAGCCTAGGTGACTCCCCTCACCTGGGGAGTCATTAACTGACCCAGGCTGACTGACGTCCCTCACCTGCTTGGCTTTAGGGTCTGAGGCCCCTGCCTGGGTGTTTCTGGGAGGCTGGCGTGTCCCACGTGAGCACCACCGCGGGCAGCTGGAGGGCGTGGGGCAGGACCGTGAGCCTGGGAGGGGTGTGGCCCTCCGGTCCCGCCCGCAGTCCCACACCGGCCCCAGTCCCGCCCGCCCCGTCCCTGCCTCGCGCGCTGACGTCACCGGGACCTCCCGATCCTTCGGCCCAGCTCGAGCTGCTCACGCTGCTGCCCGGGGCGCGGTGACCGACGAGGCCTTTGCTGGCTCCCGAGGGCGCGGGACTGCGAGGTAGGGGCGCGGGGCGAGGACTCGGAGGCGCGGGGCCGGGAGGGACCCCCGTGAAGGGGAGGGTGGGCAGGGGCAGCTCCGGGTCCCGCGCGCAAGCCCCGAAGACGCCCAGGCGGCGGCGGCTACGAGCGCGCAGGGACCGCGGAGACTCGAAGGGCGCACTTGGCCGGAGCACCTGAGCCTGGCGCCAGGGAGGGTTTGCTGCAGGGCCACGCGGGGGTCGGCACAGTCCGGGCCGGTCCAGCAGAGGGAAGGAGGGGCCAGGGAAGGGGAACGCGCTCTCTCCGCGCCATCGGCTCCCAGGCCCGGGCGACCTGCGAGCTTCCCGATGGGATCAAACTGGGGCCAGGGCGGGAATCCCCGGCCAGGGGCCCCGAAAGAAGGCATTTCCGGGCTGGGGCGAGCCAGGTGGGTGCGGGACTGGGTGGGTCCCCGGGGAGCCTCCAGGGCGCAGAGAATCTCATTGCGCCCAGGGCTCCCCGCAGCTTGTGTGTGTGCCGGGGAGGGAGAAGCCTCCCTCACCCAGTTGATTGAGAAAGAAGGCGTTGGATATTACCCCTGCGGGAAAGCAAGACAGTTCTCAAAACCAGAAAAGCAAGGGAGGGGTGAAGTTGAAACGGCAAACTTTACAAAGGCCACCAGGGCCGGGGAGAGCAGTGAAGTGGGTCCTTTCTGCCCCCATCACGGGAGGGAAACACTTGGGAGAGGAGTCGGGTTTGCAGGTGAGGGGAGGGTACAGGAAGCCAAGCGTCCGGCCAGGAGACCACTGCCTCTGTGGTCTAAGCCCTCGTTTCCCCTCCTAGCGAATGGAACCCTTCTGAGAGGTATGAAACCCCAAACCCGTTGGTCTCGTTCTGCGTGGGGCTGCCTGAAGGTCTGGGCTGTCAGCTAATGAATAGCTCGATGCAGCTGCTGGGAGGTTTTTGCAAAGCGCATTCAGAATAGTGAGAATCAGAGCGTGGTTTCTTGCCCGAAGGCTGGGCATCTGTGTGGTCAGATGGGGGAGAAGGAGGGCCCGGAGCTGTGCGTTTTGGCGCAGCCTGACCTTGGATACCGGGTTACTGGGGCAACCTGGTGGTCCCTGTTGCTTAGAGTGGCAGACCCTTCCCAGGGGGCGGGTGGGGGCAGGACATGGATGTGCCTTTTCTAGTCTTTGGACAAAAAAGAGAGACAAGAGGCGGAGAAGCCGCTGAGAAGTTTACCCCGCGGTATTCAGAGCAGGCAGGCGCCAGGTGCAGTGGCTTACGCCTGTAATCCCAGCACTTTGGGATCCCAGCTGAGAAGGGCGGATCACCTGAGGTCTGGAGTTGGAGACCAGCCTGCAACCTCTTGCCTTCCAGGTTCAAGCGATTTTCCTGACAAACGTGGAGAAAGCCCATCTCTACTAAAAATACAAAATTAGCCAGGTGTGGTGGTGTACACTTGTAGTCCCAGCTATTTGGGAGGCTGAGGCAGGAGAATTTCGTGAACCTGGGAGGTGGAGGTTGCGGTTAGCCGAGATTGCACTTCAGCCTGAGCAACAAGAGCGAAACTCTGTCTCAAAAAAAAAAAAAAAGGCAGTGTAGGAACACGGGTGCTTTGGGACCCTCTGTGCCCCACTGGAACACCTCTGCTCCAGGAGCTAAGCAGCTGGGGTTCCAATGTGAGGCATGGCTTTGAAACCAGGCCCCACTGCCCCCCAGCTGTGTCACCATGGGCAAGTCACATAACATCCCAAGCCTCAGTTTCCCTACCTGAAACACAGACAGCAGTGGCACCTGCGATCCATGTGTGGCTTGGAGGATGCAGACATGGCACCTGTTGGCTGCTGTCGTGACCACAATTAACAAGAGGGGGACAGACTGTGTCAGGGCCCAAAGAACAGTGAGGAACCTCAATAATTTGGGAGGGTTATGGATGGGCTGGTGAGTGCCAGATGGTGCTGGGAAGCTGACCCTCACTAACTGTAGCTCCTTCCCCGTGGGTACCCCCAGAGCTCACATGCAGCTCTGGCTCCATGTAAGGAGTGCTCTCGTGCCGAAATGACCTGGCAGGATGGAAGGACTCAGGTGGTGGCTGACATTGGGGACCAGGATTTTCCTGAATGACCCACAAAGACGACTGTGGCCACAAGACTTCTTGAGAGGAAATGCTGTCTGGGCAGACCTCATGCCGGACACCTGAGAGCTGCACCTGTGTCGGGGGACGCAGGGACCTGTGCGTTTGCACGCCCAGCTTGGAGCCTGTCACACCATTCTCTGGTTTGCATTGGGAGGTGGCTGTGCTTTCGTGTGTGTGTGTGTGTGTGTGTGTGTGTGTGTGTGTGTGAGAGAGGGAGAGAGGGAGAGAGGGAGAGAGAGAGATAGAGAGACAGAGATGGGTCTTGCTCTGTCTTCCAGGCTAGAGTGCAGTGACGCAATTATAGCTCACCGCACCCTCGACCTCCAGAGCTAAATCAGTCTTCCCATCTCAGCCTCCCTAGTAGCTGGAAACACAGGCATGCACCACCATGCCCAGCTAATTTTTTTTTTGGAGATGGAGTCTTGCTCTGTCACCCAGGCTGGAGTGCAGTGTTACCATCCCGGCTCACTGCAACCTCTGCCTCCTGGGTTCAAACAATTCTCCTTCCTCAGCCTCCCGAGTAGCTGGGATTACAGGCACACCCAGCTAATGTTTTTGTATTCTTAGTAGAGATGGGGTTTCACCATGTTGGTCAGGCTGGTCTCGAACTCTTGACCACGTGATCCGCCACCTCAGCCTCCCAAAGTGCTGGGGTTACAGGTGTGAGCCACTGTGCCCGACCTTGCCCAGCTAATTTTAAAAATGTTGTAGAGATGGGGTTTCACTGGTCTCAAACTCCTGGACTCAAGTGTGGAGTTCCAGGAGGTGGCTATTTTTAGACCTTGCCTCCATGTCCTGTTGCTCCCAGCGGGGCCAGTGTGGAGCTGGCCTGACCACACCTTCCTGGGCCGCTCAGGGTGGCTGACTCAGTGTTATGTCTCTGGCTGTTTCCCTCCTAGATGCTCTGAGTTACCTGTGTGCCCAACACTGCTTGCAGGTGTGTAAATGGCTTTCTATGGTCATGGCTCCTCTGTGTACGTGTTCTGGCCCCCTGGAAAACTTGCTGCTGGGTCCCTTCCTCTTTCTACAGGATTTGGTCCCCGCTGAATGACTTAGATGAGCCTGAGGTTTGCAGTTTAGTCACACCTGGGACCAATGTAGTAGGGTTCGTGAACTTTTGGTAAAAAGAAGGCATTTCTCAGCCGGGTTTGGTGGCTCATCTCTGTGATCCCAGCACTTTTGGAGGCCGAGGCAGGCAGATCACTTGAGGCCAGGAGTTCGACACCAGCTTGGCCAACGTGTTGAAATCCTGTCTCTACTAAAAATACAAAACTTAGCCTGGTATGATGGCATGCGTCTGTAGTCTCAGCTACTCAGGAGGCAGAGGCATGAGAATAGCTGGAACCCGGGAGAAGAAGGTTACAGTGAGCTGAGATTGCACCAGTGCACTCCAGCCTGGCGACAGGCCAAAAAAAAAAAAAAGGCATTTCTCGTTTTTGATGCTTTGCCTGGGGTGGGAGGCTCTGCTGGCAGGGAAGCCTCTGACCAGGGTCTTTAGGTGGTCAGGTGGGTGTGGGTGCTGGCAGGAAAGCCTCCATGAGAGTAGTGGAGAGTCCGTGCGTGAGGACCGGAGTTGGGGCAGTCACTGTGTTGGAAGTCAAGATGCCGGTGAGCTGTGTTACTCTGGGCAAGCAGCTTTCCCTCTCTAAGCCTCAGTCTCCTGGGCTATGACATGGGTGAATCCCAGGGTGGCCATGGAGGTCAGACAGGTGTTGCATCAGAAAGTGATTTTGGGGCTTTACAAGGTGGCAGCACAGAAGAGCGGATGTTGGCCAGGGCCGGTCCAGGTTGCCCGCAGGGACTGGTATCTGTTTTACCATCTCCTCCTCTGGAAAGCTGGGACACAGACCCTCCTGGGCATCTGGAAGGCCCTGGGCTGCTCCAGAGAAGTAATGTATAGGCCCCTCCCCACAGAACAAATTGTTCTGAGCTGGCCACAGCACCAGGGGAATGATTTGGTGGTAACTGGGTGGTGACGGTGCTTGCTCCGTGCGGTGGCAGTGCTGGTGAGCGGAAGGTCTGGGAGCGAGGAGCCGGCGAATAGGTCGTGTGACCAGGACCCAGGGACAAAAATAGGCCGGTGAGTCTCATATGGTGTCAGATGCTCAGGGGCTGGCTGAGCACCTCCTCCTGCTTGGGACATCAGGGATCTGGGAGGAAGGCAGGTGGGACCACACCCATCTCACCTGGGAGGAAACTGAGGCATGGTGGGGTTAAAAGAGGACCAAGAGCGCTGGGTGTGGTGGCTCACACCTGTAGTCCCAGCACTTTGGAAGGCCGAGGTGAGCAGATCACGAGGGCAGGAGTTCGAGACCAGCTTGGCCAACATGGTGAAACCCTGTCTCTACTAAAAGTACAAAAATTAGCCAGGCATGGGGGCAGGTACCTATAATCCCAGCTACTCGGGAGGATGAGGCAGGAGAATCACTTGAACCTGGGAGGCAGAGGTTGCAATGAGCTGAGACTAAGCCATTGCACTCCAGCCTGGGCGACAGAGGAAGACTGTCTCAAAAAAAAAAAAAAAGCTCTTTAAAAAAACCAAAAAGGACCAAGCTCATGCCAGAGTCCCCGGGGCTGTTGAGGGCTTTCCAGCTTCAAGGATTTCTTGGGTACCTCTTCCGTGGAGTCCCTGAGGGAACTCTGAGATGTTTTTGAGGGTGCTGCCTCCACACCCTGACACCTGGCCCGGCTAGGGCAGGAGATGGGCTTTGTGGAGCTCTGCACCCCACCCCTTGCCACAAGCTCAGCCGTGGTTCCCCACCTCACTCAAGAGAAAAGGTTAAAGCTCTTCCAGCAGCCACCTGGCTCCTGCGTGACGTGGCGCCATCTTCCCTGATCTCGTCCCCTGTTCTTTCCTCTAATTCGTTCCAGCCACATTGGCCACCTCTGGCTGTCCCTGG